TGCATGTTTTGTGTGAGTGCGGTTCTTTGTATGGGAGGGTTATCCCACTTGCGCGCGACCTTGGTTATTTCTACAATAGGTATTACTGTAAAAAAAATGTTGTAGTGTTCTGGAATTTTTACTTAATTTTTTAAAAGAAAATTTCATTTTGCTGCATGTTGAAAAGTAAAAACTTTCCAGTTACTGCCAGAGGTCTTCCACCCATGTCACAGGAAGGGGGGGGGGGGGGGAAATGTTGTCAGGCCATTTGAAAAATTGAAATTTTGGTTTCTTACCATTGTCGTTTCTACATTTTATTTTATGGTTAAACGATGAAGAAAATCCAACTTTCAAGCACCCTGTGACATGCATTGGAGAACTCTGATGGGCATAACAGGAAAGTTTTTGCTTATCATCATGCAGTAAATTTAAAATTGTTTCATTAAATGCGAAAAAAAATCCCAGAATCTAAACAACATCATTGGCTACATTATAATTTTTTTTGCATTCAAAACTACTCTAGAAATAACCAAGGTCGCGCACAACTGGGACAACCCTGGTAACAGTTGGTGACAATCTCATTCTACTATATACTTCAAAATTATTTATTTGATGTTATTGGCCGTAATTTTTTTATTCCATCCGTTGCCAGATGATCCCGAGCAACGAGTTCCTGTCGGCTTTCTTGAAATGTCGAGAAATTGGGAGAGTGAGAAATTATCTGCATGTTTTGTGTGAGTGCGGTTCTTTGTATGGGAGGGTTGTCCCACTTGCGCGCAACCTTGGTTATTTCTAGAGTAGGTATGACTCTAAAAAAAGATGTTGTACTGTAGTGTTCTGGAATTTTTACTTTATTTTTATAAAGAGAATTTCATTTTGCTGCATGATGAGAAGTGAAAACTTCCCAGTTACTGCCAGAGGTCTTCCACCCATGTCACAGGAAGGGGGGGGAATGTTGTCAGGCCATTTGAAAAATTGAAATTTTGTTTTTTACCATTGTCGTTTCTAAATTTTATTTTATGGTTAAACGATGAAGAAAATTCAACTTTCAAGCACCCTGTGACATGATTTGAGATCTCCGATGGCCATAACTGGAAAGTTTTTGCTCATCATCATGCAGTAAATTTAAAATTGTTTCATTAAATGCGAAAAAAAATCCCAGAATCTAAACAACATCATTGGCTACATTATAATTTTTGTTGCAGTCAAAACTACTCTAGAAATAACCAAGGTCGCGCACAACTGGGACAACCCTGGTAACAGTTGGTGACAATCTCATTCTACTATATACTTCAAAATTATTTATTTGATGTTATTGGCCGTAATTTTTTTTCTTTTCCCAGGGTTAAAAGTTGTGCTCATCACAAGTTNTATGGACATATATGTTGTGGAAGTAACAGTACTGTACTTCAAAGCGTCTACCACTTTTTTCCCTGAAAAAATTTAATACACTAAGAAACATATGATTCTTGTTTGAGCAAATCTTTTTGTCATTAATGAATTTTTTCTTGGGTTCATAGGTGATTATTGTTGTAACAAGATTTTACTGCATTATACAAGGTATGTTGAATTCAGTTCCTCATTTTGCCTTTTGGGATCTCATGCTTTTGTTGGTGAAAAGAATGTAAAAGCCTGTATTAACTTGATTCTACATAACTCATCCGGTCCTGACTAGAATTAGACTAGTTGTTGAATTTGTGCGACATCTATATAATGCCAGAGAAAAGAAAGAGGTGAAGACATCTGAATATTCAAAAGAATACCAACAACGATCAGTTTTCAATATAGTCTCAATGAGAATTTTTTTCAAGTGCCAAAGTGGATCTGCAGTTATTGAACTCACCTGCTTGGAGAATGGCATCAAGATGGCCAAAGCCCTGCTGTTTTCCCCTGGTGCTTTTGACACAAATGTGACGTCTTCAATGAAGTACTGGGTTGTATAGTCCACAACTTTTGACCTCCCTTGCGTTATGGTGATCTCATTTATGGCCAAATCTACTGTCCCAGTGGCCACTGACCCTGTGAGTCCACTGAAGGTGCCATCTGGTTCCTCTGACCCCCATGCCTTGTCAACTTGCTCAAAGGGTTTGAAGCTTTTTTTTTTTAGTAGAATAAAACATAATTGAACATCATGATCAATGAATTGCATCATCAGGATTATTGATTCCACCTGATATTGTAGGCTTTAGATATGCTTTTCAGTATGTTGACATCTATGCCGTCAACAGCAACCAGTCCATTATTTGGAGTATGTTCAAGAGTGACGAATGGATAATCGTCAATAGCTGCGTGAAGAAGAACTGAGTTTTCAAAGTTTCTGAAAATCTCCAGAAAGTCATGTGCATCGCGAGTAATGCTTGATTCAGCAAATTTCCTCAATTCTGGAACTGTCTTCCTCTGATGTGGAACAAAAGTATGATGAAGCAAATGTACTTCCTTCTCAGTGTGGACTGACATCTGCCATTTGAAATCCAGCTGTTGGATGGCTTCCAAGAATTCGGGCAAGGATCCAGAGAGTAGGAAAATGTGCCAAATGTCTTTCCATCTCAGGAGTCTACGCGTCTGTATCTGCACGAGGACTTCGATAATTAAGAAATTATGTTATGCTTGCAGAAATGATATTACAGTACCTGATACAAGATGTTAGAGCAGTCTGCAACAGGTTCTTGGCACAAGAGACCAATCTTCAGTGAATTGTAAATATTTTGCTTCCATTTTATGACTTGGAAAAGAATGCTTTCATTTTTTAGGTGAATGCTGATGCATGGAAATGCTGGTCTCTTGAAGTCTTCTGTATGTGTGGATGAGTTTGATCATTGAAAATAATTGTAAAAATACAGTATACATATACAATATAAATATATTGATATGTATTTCTACTTACCAATGATGTGTGTTTGATCCTTGTACAAGATGACATGGGGTTCAATGTTGTGGATCACCCTTGCTGGCCATTGATGCTGATCATCATCAGCAAATGTTCCCAATTCTCTTGTGAGAGTGTTGGTTTGGATTGTGGCATGAAATAAAATTGCGATCTTACAGAAAGTTTGCCCATTCATTTTATGTTGCTTGTGGATATATGAAGTTCTTTAATGAGATTGCGGTTAGCTCCCTTGTGTCTCTCCCTCTGAACTGACTATAAGGTGATGAATTGACCTGATGTATATCTAGCCTGTGAAAGAAAAAAATAATTGGATACTCGAATAATTTACATGCTGGGTTTCAGCAAATTACAGGGTGCCTGAAGGACATTGATCTTGAAGTATATAAGGTGATGAATTGACCTGATGTATATCTAGCCTGTGAAAGAAAAAAATAATTGGATACTCGAATAATTTACATGCTGGGTTTCAGCAAATTACAGGGTGCCTGAAGGACATTGATCTTGAGGTAATCCAATATGAATGCCTATGTCTCATCCTTGTTATAGACCTGTTGAGCGAATATTTTCGTTGTTAACCTGGGTTTAGTTACAAAACCAAAACTAATGAATACTTGCTGTACCCTGGCAAAAATTGCGTGTGATGACACAGAACATTGTGGGACTAAGAATATAGTAAATATCCTCAGCAAGAATAAGTGGGTTATTATTTTACAAAACATAATACACAGTGAAAATCAATCATTCTTTGTTTAAGATGTCATCCTCTTTAATGAAGTAGAGGGAAGTATAACCATGAAACGCTTGTCAGGCGTAAACAGGTCGTCATAACATGGATGCATCATTCTGGCAAGGTGTAATTTGCAGGATGTGGAATTGATGTAACCCATACCTGTTCATCAGGGATAACGTATGTCCAGGAGTTCATATCAGAAGAGAAAAAAATAGTGATCTATTCCTATCATTAATATTGTTCTTTAATTGTATGGTTATTCATCACTAGCAAGGCTCAGCCGCTGTCATTAATTTTATGGTAAGTTGGCAAGGAAGTCACCTCGATAATACAATACTGTACAGAACAAAAATGTACCTGCATCCATGCGCACGAAGAGAAAAACGCTGTGTTATTTGATCACATGACCAGCTGCAAACATGGCCCTTTTCTCGTGGGCTTCCTAGTTGGTGCCTAGACGTTCCAGCATACTTTTTAACTCACCGCCACTGTTTTTCACGCTTTTCTGCTAGGGGGCTAATCTCTTCCATTCCAACTCCCAAGGCCACTATTGGGTGATTTTATGAATAGCGCATGTTGTTGACTGAGAATTCCATGTTGCAATTTGTTCAGGAAGACTGTACAGTTATAATATATTATTGAAAGCTAAAACAACATAGCCTGAAGTTGTATATTTATGTGAAAATTGTTATATAATATGCGCCATCTTGCCCAAGAAGGCGCAGAAGTTCTTCTCGGAATCTATACCCGAAATCATTGCAGTTGAAGTCACTCACTGAAAGGTGGCTCTGAGAGAAAGTGGCGCTGACTAGCATGGCGTGGAAGAGGATGTCCGAAATTGAGTTTATTGAGTGGAAGTTGAGTTGAAGCACGGTGTCACCGTGCGAGAACGATTTCAGCATTTTGGCGACTTCTAAAATATTCTTGGAGTTCAGAAGTATGATTGTTCTGTGACGCGCTAGTGAACATGTTCCGGTGCGATTTGTTGTCATGACTGACCGCCGCGTCTGTCTCACTGCGTGGTCGGTGGTAGTCACTATGCATATTGGCAACCAGGTTTTGTGTGTTATGTTCGCTCTGCAGATGTGCTACTTAAATCCCAAATAGTTCTATTCTTTTCTTGTTGTATATTCGTTCACCTCTAATACTGTTTGTACCATTCCACTGATTCAAGACGCTTGGTGAATTGTTATGTTCCTTGATATCTTGGGGAACCTACGAAGAACCCGAAACACTGAAACCGATTATCCGTTCCTCTCCCTCTCTTTTTGTTCCCAGTGTTATTTTTTTCTTTTATACAAGACGCTTGGTGAATTGTTATGTTCCTTGATATCTTGGGGAACCTACGAAGAACCCGAAACACTGAAACCGATTATCCGTTCCTCTCCCTCTCTTTTTGTTCCCAGTGTTATTTTTTTCTTTTATTTTTTGCCTGCCTCTCCGGATTTCAACATTTCATAGGTGTATCAGTGCAATAACTTCCGGCGCATAACCTGAGTACCCTTCATCCGTGGAGCGGAGCCCTTTTTTCCCGGCCATCCGTACATGGCGTCACAGGATGAACCGAAAAAATATCTCCGTCTCAACAGTCCAGCCGGTGGCGAAGCGAAAGTTTATGAATGGCCTCTCATACGAACGGTGAGTTGTCTCATGAATTTCTCGGTTTGTCGTTCAGTACAGAGAATTGTTCGTTTTTGCAGCCGAATTACGACGAAAGTCAGGATCTCGTGGCGACCATCGAGTAAGTTTAGAGCGAATGAACGCGCTCATACAGTTTTCTGATCGTTTTCGTGTTTGGGCAGACTTGTGTTCGACGAAGTTTACAAGAACAATGTTCACAATATCACCACGAGGAACAATATCATCGCCAAAATGCCTTCGTCTGAGTGAGTTATTGCAGTGTGTTATTATATTATTTTTTAAATGAATTCTTCTGCGTTGTGCAGTTATGAGGAGATGCGATCGATGTGTGATCGGTTCAACAAACTCGTGAAAGCCATGCACGGAATGGTGAGCATCTTGAAAAGGGATTAATCAATTTTGAAGTGAATAATAAACAAATTTTGCAGTACATGGGGACTACCTTGGATCCGTTGTGCGAAAACCCACCGAGTTCGAAGATTCTCAACGCGATCATCACAAAAGTTTATCGTGCCTCTGTGAGCAATCCTGAGCGCTTGAACTGTTATACGGCATTCACGCCCAGTGTTTACGGGGAAACGAAATTCGAGACCATAGAGAAAATGCTGGAGTGCATTTCTTTGGACGAAAACTCCGTAGTGATCGATCTTGGGTCTGGTGTGGGACAAGTCGTGCTTCAGATTGCGGCCAGCGCACGTGTAAAGATGGTTTACGGCATAGAGAAGGAAGAAATACCGAATACTTACGCACAGGTGTGGCTTTGTTGTGTGTGGTTTCTTTTCTTCTGATGAAGTGAATGAATTTTTTTTTCGATTTTCCCCCCTCAGGCCATGGATCGGAATTTCCGGACGTGGATGAACTGGTTCGGGTTCAAATACTCGCCGTTTGAGCTGATTGCCGGGGATTTCCTGCACGAGGAGCATCGGACGAAGATAACCTCTTCCAAGCTCATATTTGTCAACAACTATGTGTTCGGAGCGGAAGTGGACAATGCGTTGAAGAAGATTTTTGAAGGGTGCGAACATGGAACTGCTATCGTGTCTTCTGTTGCTTTCGGAAAGTGCACCAACAATCGCCCGAATTCACGGAATGTTCAGGATCTCGGTGTGTTGCTGGACACCAAGAAGGTGCCACCAATTATTGGTGAAGTGTCTTGGACTGACAAGCCTGTGAAATATTTTGTGCAGTTCATCGACTTGGTTCGGGTGAGAATCTTGAAATCTCTGCGTGCATTTTTGTTTATGAATATTTGAGGTTCCAAAGGTATTTCCCTTCTCAAAGTTTCGCGCTTAAAAATAGTTTCGCACCTGAGTTTAAGTCTTGAACCCAGCTCCTAAGATGAGTCAACTGTTTCAATGTGGCCCTGGGCTACTTCAAAGTTGGGCACCACTGTCCTAAGTAATGCCGAAGTCTTTATTGTTTCAAATTCATGACTTCTCGATAATGACTGTCAATCTAACCCCGAAGCATTGACAAAATTGTTTTAGTTTTAATTTAAAAATATTTTGGACCTTTTGAAGTGGAGCGCTTTTGATCCATGTAATAAATTTATTTCATGTCCTAGAGACGCTTGACAATTTGAAGTTTTTGCTGTGTACATATTCTTTGATTCATATATGTATATATATATACGCTTTTTTCTAATGTTTTTAGATGAGTGTGCATGTTGAGTTAATGTCAAAATTTTGTCTTTTGCCTCAAGCATAAGTGTTTTGATCTCGTTTTCAAAGATGTTTTTGGATTCTGATGTCTCAGTGTGATGCTGTTGTCAAATTGTTGGGAACAGTCTTGACGAACTGTTTTTTTTTCTTCTTTTTTTCTACAGTTGAACGCCTATTTCGAGGACCAGCAAAAAAGGGTGAGACTTGCTCAAAATGTGGTTCCATGTGTTCCGTTCATTGTATCTAATTGTTTCGTATTTGAAATCAGCAAGCCAATGGGAACAGTAACCCCTTACCAGCGGCCTTTTGCTTCTTTCAAGCATCGCACCTGGACTTACACGGCTGCTTCCTGTGCCTACTACTTTGATCGTGCGTAAGGAACGGTCTGTACAGGTACAGAGGAGTCCAAACAACGACTCAACATTTGTTGTTGTGTGCATTTTCACAGAAGAGAACAGATTATGTTTTCAGCTGGATATGATTTCGTGCATGTGCGCGGAATCGTGGCATTATTTTCAATTATTACGTCGAGGGATGAGAAATTTGAAGAAAATTGAAAAAGAGGAGAATTTAGGGAAATTAGTACTGTACTGAAAAAATATTAAGTTTCTGTGTAAGAGATTCAAAGTTGAAGGATTCTCCTGATTCCTTGTATTTTTTCGGGTCATTCTAGGTATATTTTTACGTGTTTTTACGTAGAAATGTACGTGTCTAATTTTTTTAATGTTTCTACGAAGTTTTCCGGAGTATCTAACCACTCTACTGTATTTTCGATTATCAGAATACTTGATTTATTTTTCGAAATGCCTCAAAACTAGGTGAAGCTAGTTCGAATGAAGCACGAAATGAGTCGGTCGCCGCCGCAAGTGAACACGCCGGCGAGCAAACGTGGCCGCCGCCGAGCCGCCATTGCAGGCGCCGTCAAGACGGCCGCTGCGTCCGCAAACCTGTCCTTTAGCAGGGAAGTGTCTGCTGCACCGCCCATCACGCGTGAAGGCGGCCCTCGAGGCCCTGCATTCTCACACTTTGCTCAGCACGGAACGTAAGTTGAAAGAAATTTCTCGATGTTTGAGGTCTGTCCGTTTTGAGATACTTCTGAAATCAAGTGTGTATAGAGCTGTGTTCGTTGTTTTAAACAATTTATTGGTCTCTTGACCACTCGACATTTTTTACCCCGTGACCGACGCTAGTTTCGTTCACGTTATTCCTGGAATGTTAGGCAGGTGTCTTCTGATTGACTATTTTAAAAACATACCGTACTCTAACTCGGTGTTCCCAAACCTTTTGAGGCCCGCAAACTGGCGAATTTATAAAACAAATTTGGCGGACCAGTAGAGTTTCGTACAATTTTTGGAAACTCAAAAAAGTTAGCTTGAAAGACTTTATGGCAGGTATTTGAATTTAAATTTTATGCTTTTTTGCAAAAGTTAAGTTGAGAATTGATGAAGCAGCTATAGTGGAATGTCTTAAAAAAATTAGAAAGGTGGGCTTGAGAGCTTTCTCAGAATGAAAAATTTAAGTAAATTATTTCAGCTGTGAAAATTTATCTAAACTCTAAAATTTATCCGGAGGAAAGCCAAATTTTATTTTTCATCATATAATTTCAACTGCCATTATCTCTGAAATTTCAAGTGAAAGTTTGACTTCATTGATATATATGATGAGTTTATTATGCCAAGAAAAATTTCCCACAGACTTGCGCTGGTCTGCGGACCATGGGTTAGGTAACACTCTCAAACTGAACCCAAACTTACTTCATTGGGCCTAAACTAGTGTAGTCAAACGTGTAACGTTCACGTGATTTGAACAAAGCCTAAATTAGATCCGAATAAACTTGAAAAATTTGAGGCGACACCCAAGTAATAGCAACAGAAATTGAGCAGTGGACGAGTACAATCTTCTTCAACGTTCACTATCGCGTTCTCTATTGACTAGTATTTTTCCCTAGTCGATCAGATCGAGTGTTTTTCCTTTGCTGATGGCTCTTTTGTCATAATGTGCTCTTTGTTACTAATTTAGACAATGACCAGAGCAAGCCTGGAGAAGGCTGCAAGGACGAGCCTTTGTTGGACGCGACGGAGCTGGACGAGAAACCGTCGTTTCTGGAGGATTCGGACGAAGGGAGTGTGGATCATGCGGAAGTTTCCAGGTGGCCAAGGTGCACAAGGCAGAGTTGCTAGAAAATGTGGCCCAGCTGGAGCAGCGTAAAAAGGAGGCGGAAGAGCAGAAAGCGTCGGGTCCTCGATTCTCCGTCCCTGTCATGTCCCTCCCCAACTTCACCAATTTCAAGGAAAACACTCCACCGGTGCAGAAGAAAAACCCGCTGCTGCCCCCGGTTGTCCCCTTGTCTAATCCTGCTGCTGCTGCTGCAAACGGCGGCAGCAGCAGACATGGCGGCGTTCTTCCCCCTGCGTCCAGTATAGGGCGGCAAGATTATCCCCTGGTGCCTGACTTGGGCCGAATTGACGAGAAGAACCCGACCAAGCTGGCCCATAAGATTGTCGAACAGGGACGCATAGAACAGAGTTTGTTGATGACGAAAGCGGCGCCTCCAGCTGGTGGTGGTGGTGCGAGGACCAATGTGAAAGGAGGATCGTTACCCCTGGCTCCTGCGCTGGATATGTCTTATCCATCGGACCGTGTTCAGTCGATAATAACCAAGTGAGTGGGCCCTTTTTTTTTTTTTAAATTTCTGTTTTCGTGTACCGAAACTTTGAAAATCATACGTGCAACTTTGAAAATAATTTTCTTCACGCGTGAAATTTATGACTGAAGAAAAAAGACATTCGTGGGCTTCATCTCTGTTTTTTGAGGAAAGTTTCCTCAGAAGCCTTGCGAATCACTTGAAAATCTAAATTTATCTGGAATGAAATAATACTATACCTGTATCCGCTTTAATTTTTATTATTGCTGCGGGTCTATCAGTAAAAAAAAAATAAGGAAAAAGTTGTTGGTTTTCTATCTGAATAATTCCGGTGATCATAGGTCATTGAAAACAGAAAAGTTCGTAAAATCGAGAATTTTA